CGAAAACAAACGAAAATCTGATAGTTACGGCTCAAGTTATAGTGATAAGAGGCAGAGATATTGATTTTCAGTATACTTATAGATTTATTGAATTGTATAATATATATTATTGTAAGTTTATATCGTCACTTTGGTTCTTCATGTTTCCCCTGCGCGAAGCAGTTTAAGCTCCAGATCTATTAGGCTATCAAGTTCTAGGTCGTCGTTATCATTAAATTCATTATTTTCAACTGGAGGGTAGGTCACACACTCTTTTGGGGATCCTACAGCATTGGTTTTCAAAGAATTCAAATAGTCTTCCACTCTCTTTAAATGGGTTGTGTGCCAATCCAAATGTCTTTTAAGGTCATATTCACGACTGAATCGTCTATTACAGTTTTTTTTAGGACATTCAATTTTCCGTTTGTTGAAATTACCCAGTATTAATTCTACTATTGTGTGATTGCCACTCTTCAAAGTTGATTGTAAAGAATCGAGCGACTTTAAAGATTTATGCGAATCTCCTAATACTTCATTCTTAGCTTCGACATCAGCCTCATCAATATCAGCTGGATTAAAAGTATTCAAATCAATCTTTTTATTGTGGTTGATTGATTGACTTAATAAATTCTCTAGGTATTCTCTTTCATCAGGCTTCAACAAATCATCTGGAACATTTTTATCATGAAAAGTATTATAATGCTCTATCAAATCATTCTTCTTTGAAAATCTTCCAACATCACAATATTTACAGTTCCAAAGTTTTACCATCTTATCATTGTCATGGCTGAGCATATGTGATTTAAGACCATTTTTACCAACACAGCCCTTTCCGCAAACCTTACATTTGACTTTGGGATGTTCCGTCTTTAAATGAAGCTGTAATGCTGACCACGTTTTGAAGTTGTGAAAACAACCGTGGTGATCACACTGATATGTCGGGGAATCACTGTGGTATTTTATTGTATGCTGCGCCAAACGATAAGGTCTGCTAAAGGTTTTGTTGCAACTTTTGCAAGTCAATTTTTTTTCATGAACAGACATTACATGGTGTCGCAAGGATTGATGTTTATAAAATGACTCATTGCAGTCCTTGTATTCACACTGGAACGATCTCGTATGCGTAATTTCGTGGCGCTTAAGGTGCTGCTGAGTATTCACTCCCTTTCCACATATTGAGCAATGAAAAGGTTTACTACTTTGAGCTTCATGAGATACAAGATGTGCCTGCAAATGCGATTTCCTTAGAAAAGACTTTCCGCAGTTCAACTTGTCACACTTGAATGGACGTTCATTCGTATGAGACCTCCGATGCTGTTCTAGTAGAGACGGTTTGGAATATGCCTTCCCACATTCAGGCTGATCGCACTTGAAGGCCCTAACTCTACTTGATGATGATTCACCAACAGATGCTGTTGTTGGATCTGTGTCAATGGAGCTCATTTAACAGCTTGTGGAGGTATAGGAATATAACATTTACCTTTACAGGTTCATCTCTAAAAAAAAATAGTAACAATTTTAGGAGCCGCAGTAACCATTTACGGATTATTCTTAAATGAAAAAGTTGAGCCAGATCAATACTGAGAGAAATGCGCAAAGGATGCAAAAGTTAAGAGACAGTTAGAAACGTGAGCAACAGATATTAAAGCTCTTTCAAAAAAGCTAGGATATTTCAGTTCGATATTCTATTTCTCGCCTTTGGATATTAATAGTCGTAAAATATTCTTAAGCATTTCGTAATGGTTGACAAATAGTTTCTTGACTGCTTCTACTCGATAAGCAATAATTTTATATTTAGTTATCATTATCTTTTGAATTTGTAGACGATTTTTTCGCCAAATAAAAAACTTACAGTTTTTTAAAAGAGCGTGTGGAACAAGAAGAGAGTGCCCACAGTTAATCTTAATGGGCTAAAACGCCTCACTCAAATATCGTTTTTAAATCAAGAACTTGTCAGTAAAGTTAATAAGATTAAAACAGGCAATGTCGATAAAATTATCGCAAACAATGAATAATATGATACCACGGGTAGAGAACCGGCCACTAAATAAAGGGTTGAAAACTCACGTCGGGAAACTATGCTTATAAAAGTCAGTTAAAGTATAACACTTTACGCTTGTCAGCCTAACAGAAGTAGCAATGCAAATATGAAGGAAAACTTTGAGAATAACTATATAAGTAGTAACAAGATCAGGTACTTTATAATCTTAATTAGATTTAATGCGCTTACAGAATACGCTAAGTCTACGAAGCTTCCTTATAGAAGTTCGCTTTGCCAGATTTCGTGAAGCTTCGTTCCTCATGGCCCAATGGTCAAGGCGTCTGGCTACGATTGCGTAACCACTTCTCGGTTGGAACCAGAAGATTCCAGGTTCGACTCCTGGTGGGGAAGCTTCTTACGTTTAATTTTTTTAGAATATTCGCACACCACACAACAAATACATCTAAGTCACCAGCAAAAGTGTATCATATAAATAAACTACAAGGTCTTGAAGAATTGATAGGATAGGCCTTGCTAACTTTATTGTTACATTATGTAAGTTTATTTTCGAGCATGAAATGTGGTAACTCAATGGCACAAACAGGGCCTTCTTTTGTTACCTCCGTGTTAAGATTGCTACTCAGGATCTAGAATACTAATTACTGTACCAGAGCATTATTGAAAAAGACAAAATATGGCAAAGACTGTTCTTCTTAGGTTATCAGATGATGGTAAACCAATTGTCAATGATTCAATTACAAGTGGTATTTTATTGCTCCCATCTCTTCCTTTACCAGATAACTATAAGAATGGGGATCCTCTTTTTAACTTGATTTTTCAATTAAATGCCGCTTCTATAGTATCAAAAGAAAGTGTACTTTTAACGAACCTTCCGAAGACTGGCTCTGCGGAGTTCGAAAGATCCAATTTCACAGAGTACCCCATTGAACCTCACTTCCACGAAGATGTTTTGATTAGCATTCCAATATATAAGCCAGGCGCATTTTGCTTCTACTTACGCTACCATGATGCTGATGGCGTGCTGCGTGAGACTGATCAATACTACTTCAATGTACCTCCTAATTTGACAATCAATGAAGAATACGTTGCTTTCAACAATATCAACTTGCAATCTGTCGTCTCGAAGTGGATAGGTCCCTTAGACAAATGGAATGAATTATTTCAAGACGTATCGAAGAAGGGATACAACATGGTCCACTTTACTCCACTTCAAGAGAGAGGCGAATCAGACTCTCCTTATTCAATATTTGATCAGTTGCGCTTAGATCCTTTACTATTTGAAAATAATGAACAAGGCATTGACTTCATAAAAGAAGTATTAGCAAAAAATGACTTGTTATCTATCACTGATGTTGTATGGAACCATACAGCAAATAACTCTGAATGGTTGAAATATCATCCTGAGTCAGGATACAATCAAGAAACTGCTCCACATTTAACATCTGCTATTGAGCTAGATGACGCGTTGCTTGAGTTTTCTAGCAAATTGTCAAGTTACGATTTACCTATCGAAATTACGAATGGTGATGAATTAAATATTATTATTGAAGGAGTTTCCGAACATGTTTTGAATCCGTTAAGACTTTGGGAATACTATGTGTTTGATAAGATCAGCACTTTAAGTGAAATAAAGAAAGTTTATTTCGATCTGGGATGCCAAATCCCGCCAATCGATGTCCCACCAGAAGTCGATCGCAATGACTTGAAGCAGTTGTCATCTTTTGTTTTGAAATCATGCAACACAAACAGTAGCGTTATATTAAGAAGAAGATTTAGCAATAAATTGGATGCCACAAAATTTTTGAAGATATTACTTCATTTGGTCGATGTTTCTGAAAATAACTTTGAGGCCATATCAAGTAAGGCAAATTCAATTTTGGATGAAGTCAACTTAAATTTGTATGCAACTTACGACAGTGATGTAAGTTCAATTAAAGAGCAGTTAAAAGACCGCATACGTTACTTACGTTTGGACGAGAATGGACCTAAGCTAGGTCCTATTGATGAGAAGAATCCACTAACAGAACCTTATTTTACGAAGGTTCAAGACTTAGAAGGAAATGAGTGGTCTCTAGCAAACAACGGATGGATTTGGGGAGGTAATCCTTTAGTAGATTTTGCATCTTCCGCGTCTAAGGCATACTTGAGGAGAGAAGTGATTGTATGGCACGATTGTGTGAAATTGAGATACGGGAGAGGAATTGACGATTCGCCGTATCTTTGGAATCGTATGATTGAATATACGAAAATGTGTGCTGCCATTTTTGGGGGCTTCAGAATTGATAATTGCCATTCAACTCCTTTGCATGTTGGGGAAACATTGTTGGATGCTGCGAGATCTGTGAATAATAATTTGTATGTGGTGGCAGAGTTATTTAGCGGCTCTGAGGAAATGGATAAAATTTTCGTCGAACGGTTGGGTATCAACAGTCTTATAAGAGAAGCAATGCAGGCATGGCTGGTTTCAGAATTATCCCGCTTAGTTCACAAGCATGGTGGTAGACCCATAGGATCTTTGACTTGGTTGCCATTAGATGAACTTGCTTATCCATCCTGTAATGAGCCACAAAAAAATAAATACCCTGAGTGCTCTTCTGAACTTGAAATTCCTGTTATATTGAGTAACGAGCTTCCTCACGCATTATTTATGGATTGCACACATGATAATCAGATGCCAGCTGAAAAACGTACTGTGGAAGACACATTACCAAATGCTGCCTTGGTTGCATTTTGCTCGTCAGCAATTGGATCTGTAATGGGCTATGACGAAATGTATCCTAAGCTACTAGATGTTGTCGGTGAAAAGAGACAATATACTTATGGCACTAATGGAATTGGAAAAGTAAAGCTGCAGTTGCATGCTATCCGCCACTCTCTTGCTCTGGAAAGTAAAGATTCCGCTAAAGAAAACGAAATGTATATCCATCATGAAGATCAGTATATCAATATTCAACGTTATAATTCTAGAACAGGAAAAGGATGGCTTTTAATTGCAAGAACGAAATTTAGTGAGGACGTCCCTGAACAGATTCTCTCTCCTGTCCGTCTTGGTGGAACACATGTCAAATGTGAATCCTGTTATACGTTAAAAAAAACTGGAGAGTACAAATATGATAATCAATACTTGACAGGAGTTCCTGTTAGAGTTGAAGAGCTTGACCAGCCCAAAGTCTTTTTAGATGGAAATGATTCTGTAATTCAAGTGGGAAAAGATTTTATTCCTGGGTCAATTGCACTTTTTTCGACATTTATTCCTGGTGTTGACTTATCGTTGGATAAATATGTCAAGGACGGTGCGGTAGAGGCTTCAAAAGGTTTGGATTTGTATGATTTGAATGTAATTCTTTATCGTTGTGAACAGGAAGAACGTGACGCTAGCAATGGTGCTGATGGGACATATACTATTCCTGGAGTTGGACCTTTAGTATTTGCAGGCTTGCAAGGATGGGTTTCTGTGTTGAAAAGTGTCATTTGGGAAAATAAACTTGGCGACCCTATCTGTGATCATTTACGAGAAGGTGAATGGGCGCTTGATTACGTCGTAGATCGTTTGAACAAATATCTGGCCTCTTCAGACCCTTTAAAACAATTCCATGATTGGCTTAAAGATCGAATTACCGCCATTCGAGTTGCTCCCTATTTCCTTCGTCCTCATTATTTTGCACTTGTAATAGGAGTGGCCTATGAAGCTGCTCGCTTCAGAGCTTTAAGACACTTCAGCAAGGAAATACAAAATGCAACTAACTTCGTTCAATCAATGGCTCTAACCTCTGTACAGATGGTTGGTAGAATGAATAATACTTCGTTGAAAGCCTTCGAGCAAGTTCCATGTATTGCTGCTGGCTTGCCACATTTCAGTAACGACTATATGAGATGTTGGGGAAGAGATGTTTTTATTTCTTTCAGAGGTCTTTTGATAGTCACAGGAAGATTTGAAGACGCTAAGAATCATATTCTCGGATTTGCCCAGACTTTGAAGCACGGTTTGATACCAAATCTTCTTGATGCTGGTAGAAATCCGCGTTATAATGCTAGAGATGCTGCTTGGTTTTTTATCCAAGCTGTAAAGGAATATGTCATACATGCGAAAGATGGGGCTTCGATTTTGGATGAGAAAGTAAAGAGAAGATTTCCCTTGGATGATAGGTATATTCGTTATGATGATAAAGAAGCATTCAGTTACAAGTCTTCCATCAGGGACATAATTTTTGAAATATTAGCTCGTCACGCAAAGGGTATCAAATTTCGCGAAGCAAATGCTGGGCCTAATTTAGACTCGCAAATGTCAGATGAGGGATTCAATGTTGAAGTCTATATTGATTGGTCGACAGGCTTTGTTCATGGGGGTTCACAGTATAATTGTGGAACGTGGATGGATAAAATGGGAGAAAGTGAAAAGGCCGGGTCTAAGGGAGTTCCTGGTACCCCGAGAGATGGGGCAGCTATTGAGCTCCAAGGGTTATTGAAGAGCAGCTTAGGATTCGTTAGATTTTTGAATTCGAAAGGCTTGTTCAAATACACTGAAGTCAGTAGGTCAGATGGCTCAAAGATCTCTTTTGCCACCTGGGAAAAGTTAATCCAAGACAATTTTGAGAAACACTTTTATATTCCTCTTGATTCACTGGACGATAAAGATTATAAAATCGATCCCTCTCTTGTGAACAGAAGAGGAATCTATAAAGACTTATATAAAACAGGGAAACCTTATGAAGATTATCAATTGAGACCAAATTTTGCTATAGCGATGGTAGTAGCTCCAGAGTTGTTCAGCATCTCGAAGGCTGTTTCAGCTCTTAGTGTAGCTGATACTGCTATACGTGGAAAAGTTGGAATGAAAACACTTGACCCCAGCGACTGGAACTACAGACCGTATTACAATAACGGTGAAGATAGTACAGACTTTGCGACATCGAAGGGAAGAAATTATCATCAGGGACCGGAGTGGGTTTGGTGTACAGGATATTTTCTTCGGGCATTTTCTTTGTTTCATTACTTACAAACTAAGCAAGCTAAAAGTGAATCCTGGAGTAAAATCAAGACAGATCTTAATGAAAGGCTACAGGGAAATGTTAGTTGGATTCGTGAGAGTCCTTGGGCCGGGTTAACTGAACTAACAAATAAAGATGGTGAATTTTGTTATGATTCTAGTCCGACTCAGGCTTGGAGTACTTCATGTCTCCTTGATTTATATTATGATATCTGGAACGATGATTGCTATAAAGATGCGGTGCAGAGTAGCGCCGGATGTAGTTAGACTTTTGCTTTTTAATAGATATATAAAAATCCTTAGATTCAAAACAATAGTTTTATTCGCATATTCTAAGTTTTGGCGATATGTCCTACCACATGATTCTGCTAGCTTCGCGTGCAAGTACCAAATATGGGGTAGTACTTAAAGCGGGTTCAACATCCCGATACATTGAATAGTATATTTAAAGATCTTTTCAGCTAGTCATATCGGAAAATAACACTTTTGAATATGATGCAACGTGTTAAAATCTTGAAACCTTTGATTAAGAATTACAGGGCTCTTCAATTTAGATATCTTTCAGGATTGTCTTTAAATTCGAGCCTTCAATCTTACCCCACAAATCACACTTCGCAGAACCAGGAACCATATGTTACACCAAGTTTTGTCAATAATCAATTCTTTAAGTCGCAATCTAAAGAGTGGTTTGAAATAAATGATCCAGCAACGAATTATGTTGTTCTGAAGGTTCCGCAATCCACGCCTTCAGAATTGGATGAAGCGATCAGCGCAGCGGAGAAGGCTTTTCCAACATGGAAAGAATATTCTGTAATTAAAAGACAGGGTATTGCGTTCAAGTTTGTACAACTTCTTAGAGAAAATATGGATAGAATTGCTTCTGTTATAGTCTTAGAACAAGGTAAAACGTTTCAGGATGCAAGAGGAGATGTCTTGAGAGGTTTACAAGTGGCAGAAGCAGCTTGCAATATCACTAATGATATTAAAGGAGAGACCCTAGAAGTTGCAACTGATATGGAAACTAAGATGATAAGAGAACCATTGGGAGTTATTGGGTCCATTTGTCCCTTTAATTTTCCAGCTATGGTTCCTTTATGGTCTTTACCGTTGGTTCTTGTCACTGGAAATACTGCTGTCATTAAGCCGTCAGAACGTGTTCCTGGTGCTGCTATGATAATTGCGGAATTAGTCGCCAAATCAGGAGTCCCACCAGGAGTTCTTAATATAGTTCATGGAAAGCATCCAACCGTAAATAAAATAATCGAGGATCCTAGAATTAAGGCCCTTACATTTGTTGGCGGAGACAAAGCCGGAAAATATATCTATGAAAAAGGGACTTCTTTAGGTAAGAGAGTACAAGCTAACTTGGGTGCAAAGAATCATTTGATTGTGTTACCGGATGCGGACAAACATCAATTCATCAACGCATTGAATGGTGCTGCTTTTGGAGCTGCTGGCCAAAGATGTATGGCGATTTCTGTTTTAATTGCAGTTGGAAAGACAAAAGAATGGTTGCCAGAAATTGTGAGGGATGCTGCGAAACTAAATGTTGGGAGCGGATTTGACCCCAATACTGATCTTGGGCCCATGATTAACCCCAGTAGCTTGGAAAAAGCAAATCAAATTATACAAGATTCAGAAAAAGCTGGCGCCCATGTTTTACTTGATGGTAGAGGGTACACTCCGCTAGATGAGAGATTTGAAAAAGGTAATTTTTTGGGCCCCACCATATTGACGAATGTCAAGCCTGGGATCAGGGCTTATGATGAAGAGATTTTCGGGCCTGTATTATCTGTCGTTGAACTTGAAACTCTTGACGAAGCAATTGATCTCGTGAATAAAAATAAATACGGTAACGGAGTTTCTCTTTTTACGTCTTCTGGAGCATGCGCTAATCGCTTTACAAAAAATATCGAATGTGGCCAAGTTGGAGTTAATGTTCCGATTCCTGTACCCTTACCTATGTTCTCTTTCACAGGATCGAAGGGTTCTTTCTTGGGCGATTTGAATTTTTACGGAAAGAGTGGCATCTTATTCTTGACAAAGCCAAAAACAATCACTTCACTTTGGAAAGACAACTTGATTGACGATAAGATTTTAAAGCCTTCTACATCAATGCCAATCCACCTGTGAAAGACTTCTTCATGAAAGATTTTCAACTTTAACTCTCCCGGTAAGTATTTATGTAGATAATTATTGAGTTATACTCAGGTGAATATACACTTCGTATCATATTTCTTAGGCGCTGTAACTGTGCATGCAATACAGCCATCAACATTTGAATACAGGAGGCTGAACTTTCGCGATCGGCAGAAATATTCTATCGGAGTTTTGGAATAAATAATCTATAATTGCACCAAAACCCGGGTACTCATTTAAGTTTCTATGCGCTAGGCACGGCACGGTAAAGACACGGTAGCAACATACACAAAGTATGTATACTCAGGGATATGTCCTCAACGTAGACTCTAATATTCCAATCTGTGATTTTATAACCTGAATTATAACTCTTAGATCACACATGTGCCTAGACTACATAAGTCTTACTCTACAACTGCTTCCGCGATTCAATAGTGCAACATAAGAAGCAAACAATCGAAAGTTTGGGGTAGAGTATTGTTTAACCCTGAAAGGAGATTAGTATCCCAACCCTTGGTACTGGCTAGATGTTTCCCGGGGGTCGCACTGTATGCACACCACATATATTTCGAGGATAAACTCACCCCTGAGAGCAAGCTCAAAAGAGCAATAGCAATCCATGAGATATGGTAAAAGCTAAAGTTAGATGCCTCATGCCAAAGAAATCATCGACAAATAGCTTCTTGTAATGTAGTACCTTGAATAAGTTTCTCGCTTTTCACAAGGTGTTTGTACCATCTGGACTTAAGGCGGTCGGGTCTCGGATGCGTAGTGTTTCCAGCAAGACAATGCTCGCGGAAGTTGCTTACCGTGCCCAATTAGTGAAAGCTAAATTTGTATTACTCTCAATTCGAACAGAATCCGAGACTATCCGTAATAAAGACTTATATTTATATTTTGCGATGGATCTTTCGTTCCTAAATCATTTATTTAATCATTTCACAGTCGGCTATGAACCATGAGTGGTAAGTAGAATTAAAAAACACTAGATCGTATGGAATGGATAGCTTGCTAACAACTACAGCTAATGGACCAATATCTGTGAAAACATCGAGAGAATGGGTGCTACCACCACGGCCAAAGCCGGGGAGAAAACCTACTGAAGTACCGAAAAATAGGAAAAGAAAATTGGCCCAAAAGCCGGCCTCTAAATTAATTCCTAGTAACAGTCCAATGGCAGCTAACAACAGTAACAGCTGGTGTGCTTCTAGTAATAATAATAATAGTAATAACAATAGTAATAAAAGTAGAAATCATAATAACAGTACTAGTCAATTAATGAGAACCGAAAACTGTCAGAAGGAATGCAACCTAGGAGCCACTACAATTGAAAAAAACATCGAAGTTATCGAAAGAGAGAATGGCCAACTAAAGAATCATTTGTTGTCTTTGATCCATGATTACAAGAGCTTGAAAAATATGGTCTTGAATAAACCTTCGCATCCTGTACAAGTAGAGTACGATGGTATAAGTGGCGCCAGAAAAAGAGCATTCGCTGAATTAAATGATCCGATGAATGAATTGATTACTGATATGAATGAGCTATCTCATGATACTCCAGCTTTTGATGACAGCGAAGCTTCGCCAGAGGCAGAAGACTTCTTGAGTTTTATTGACTATGATCGTGTATCTGATCATGAGTTAGAGGAAGACGATGAGCTTATTGACAGTCCGGCATTGTCAAGGACTACTTCTCCTTCATCCGATACAGAAAATTCTTTAATGTCGTCATTGACAAGGTCAACAACTGTTTCGACTTATAATTCTAACATTGAGAGGAAGAATTTTAAATTTCATGATTTGCCAGTCTATTCTAATGAAGATTATACGTTTACGTTTGACCAAGAGTCCAATAAAAAGTATATGTCTATAATAGAAGAGGACAAGTACAATATGGTCACAGATTTTCTCGAGGAAAAACTAATCAGTAACGACTTAAATTATTATGAGCTGCAGCAACAAAATATATAAAGTATCGATTGTGCCAGACTAGTCACAATGTACACAAAGTATAACTAATGAATTTACGCTTTATTTATTTTATAAATACTCGCAACTACTTGTATAGTACCTTGTACGTCTCAGAACTAAGTGAAGGGAATTCTTGTCTTCCAAGGTTCTTTTGAAAAAATAATCTCGAGTTATCTAATTCTCGACGAAAGTCCTTCCGAACCGTCGTCATGTTTCTTTTTCCGAGCATAATTGCTTAACGCGCCTAAATAATTTTCAAGCTTGTTGTCAACTAACGGTTTAGCCCCCAATGGATCTATCTATATTCGAATTTCCAATTGATTTTACGGGTCAGAAGTTGGTTGAGAAACACCTTAGAACGTTTCTCATCTTTAATACCATTGATTCTACTGTGATCGGATTTTGCTTTCAAGATATCAAACTAGTTGTTGTTAGTTTTATCATTCATTTTATCATCGCACTAGTGGTTGTATTACCCCCTTGGCCAATCTATAACAGAAATCCTATTAACTGGCTAGAAGTTAAATATGAGTGATTACTTCTTAGGGTTTGATTTATCTACTCAACAGTTAAAAATTATTGTCGCTGACGAAAAGCTAAATCATTTGGACACTTTTCATGTTGAGTTCGATGAAGTTTTCAAAAATAAGTATGGGGTCGAAAAGGGGGTATATATCAATGGTGAAGAGGTTCTAAGTCCCGTTGCTATGTGGTTGGATTCGATTGATTATGTTCTTGGTCAAATGAAGGAGAAAGGTTTTGATTTCAGCAAAGTTAGGGGTATAAGTGGATCGGGGCAACAACATGGCTCAGTGTACTGGTCTGAAAGTGCTCCGAAACTTTTATCAAATTTGAATTCTAGTCAGGATCTTGCTAGTCAATTGAATGATGCATTGGCAATTCCAACTTCACCAAACTGGCAAGATCATTCCACAGGTAAAGAGATCAAAGACTTTGAAAAGGTTGCAGGAGGCGCAGACAAGTTGGCTGAACTTACGGGCTCAAGGGCTCATTATAGATTCACTGGCTTGCAAATCAGAAAAATTGCAACACGAAAGGATCCTGAAAACTACAAAAAGACTTTTAGAATATCATTGGTTTCTAGCTTTGTTGCCAGTATTTTATTAGGAAAAATAGCGAATATTGAACAAGCCGAGGCATGTGGGATGAACCTTTATGATATTTCCGAAGGGAAGTTTGATGAGCATCTCTTGGCAGTTGCTGCGGGTACGCATCTGAGTTTAGATAACGTTTCCGAGGCTGAATCATTGAAGGGAGTGACTCAGTTAAAGAAAAAGCTTGGAGATATTAAACCAATTTCATATCAGAGCCTGGGTAACATATCTTCTTATTTCGTCGAAAAATATGGTTTCAACAAAGATACTAGGATATATTCCTTTACAGGTGATAATTTGGCCACTATAATATCTCTTCCATTACAACCGAATGACTGTTTGATTTCATTGGGCACATCTACTACTGTTCTAATTGTAACAAAAAATTTCAAGCCATCTTCTCAGTATCATCTCTTTGATCATCCTACTATGCCAGGGCACTACATGGGCATGATCTGCTATTGTAATGGTGCCTTAGCGAGAGAGAATGTACGGAATGAATTAAACAAAAAGCTTAATCTTCCGAAAAACTCATGGGATAAATTTGATGAAATCTTAGATAAGTCATCGGAATTCAACGAGAGTCTAGGAATATACTTTCCTCTTGGCGAAATAGTACCAAATGCATCAGCGCAAATCAAAAGATCAAGGGTAGATGAGAATGGTAACGTTGTTGATGTGAAAAAGTGGGATGTTGAAAATGACGTCACTTCGATTGTGGAGTCCCAGTCGTTGAGCTGTCGTTTAAGAACAGGTCCAATGTTGAGTGAAAACAATAGTCTAACCTCTGGCCATTCAAAGTCCGAGGCTAAACATTTTCAAGACATTTATTCTCGATTACATGAACGATTCGGTGATCTCTATACAGATGGCAAGAAACAAACACTCGAGTCTTTGATTGCTCGTCCAAATAAATGCTTCTATGTCGGTGGTGCGTCTAAAAATACTTCCATCATTAAAAAAATGGGATCAATACTTGGTGCCCTTAATGGAAACTTCAAAGTTGAAATACCTAATGCATGTGCTCTTGGTGGTGCCTACAAAGCTAGTTGGAGTCGCAAGTGTGAAAATGAAGGGCGATGGATAAAGTACGAAGACTATATTGAGAATCTTTTTAACTATAAGGATTTTGACTCTTTTAAGGTCAAGGATAATTGGGAGAACTATTTTGATGGCGTTGGATTGTTAGCAGAGATGGAGTCGAAACTTATACATGATTGACTCAGCGTAACTTACGTAGATATTTGTATCTATAAATGTAGACTTAGACATATTTTAATTTGATTCAAATTTGTGTTTTATTTTTGGAAAAGAAAAATCTGAATAGAAGACATCAGATATCTTTCATTAAATTTTATTATAATATGCTTCTGGGGAAGTTAATTCGCCCAGTATCTTTTCGGAGGGTGATACATGTAAGATTTGTATCATCATTGTTGAAAAAGGACCCTCATGCTACGACTTTAAATCAAGTCAAAGAAATTTTACTGGAAGCATCAAAAAAAGATGATTGTCACTTGAGCAATCTTATAAAGCACTTTCACAAGAGCAATAACAGTCAAAGGGATGAAATAATGAACGAGCTTGTGAGTAACGCCTCTAATTTTTCGATTTACTTCAAAATCAAGGACTTGAAATTACCCACTGAATCATTACTCAAACTTATGAAACTAAATCCAGAGAGAGTATTTGAAAATTGGGATTTGCTAGAAATCAATTCCGCTAATAAAGATGATCCTGTGTTATTACTCAAGACATTAGAGAGCATTGCGACAAATCTTGATAGAAAAGAGGAAGATCTGTCCCCGAGCATTGTAAACTTATCGAGAGTTTTATATCTTTTAACAAAAGTTAATATTAATGATGTCCAGTTCAGTGTTTGGACATCTTTGATTGACTTCGTCAAAAATAAGGATTTTGAATCAATTTTAAATATTATAGACCTACCTGATAACTACTTACTTGAGACGTTAGAAAGTGATAAAATTTCTGGCAATAAATTACTTACGTTTGTCTTGTTCCAGAAACTTTTTAAAAAGAATCCTGAATTGATTTCTAAACACCTTTTTCTTAAAGCTGTTGATACCTTCGACAGAATTCAAGCGAAAGACTTGTTGGTTTACAACGAGGGCCAATCAAAAAGATTTGATGATCTTATCATCTTATGTAAAAAGTTGGGAATATTAATCAAATTTGAACCTTTAGATGACTTGCTTCGTTCTAAAATTGTTCATTATATTGATATCAATAAGCTAGATCATGGTGATTCAATTGAAAGCTTGATGCTCAGATTGAAAGTAATAGAATTCTACAGCATGACATCGAACGATATTAATAAAGCTCTAAAAAAGTTTCATCACTATCAGGTGCATGAAAAGTGGGGCTTTGAACTCGTTGAGCAAAAGCTTATAATAGCTTATTGCTACCAAGCCATTAGAGAGGACAAGGTCTATAATTTGAAGATCGCAGAGACTCTAATGCAGCAGGAAGTTCCTATACGTCAGATCCAAGGTATGATATTGGCGAAAGCCAATTTTGATCTAAACGACGCGCTTCAGCTCTACAATGACTATATTCCTGTTGTTTCAAAACAAGTAAATGAAACTACGAAGAGATCTTCCTCTGGTTTGCTTGTTGAAGCGGTGGTATTAAGTTTCTTGTACAAAGAAGACAGAGAATTTGCATCATTAGTTCTCGATAAGTCCATTGAAAACGGAATTATCTCTGACGAAACTGAGATTCGCGCAATTAAATCATTACTCAAAGTATATAGTGATTCACACCTTGGTTCTGGTCTGGTGCTGTCCAACATGAAAGAATATGTGTTACGATATCTTAAATCTTTATAACATATATATTTGTCTTCCAAAATATAACTTCATCCTGCATATACAGTATATGGTTCAGTCATCTTTGTCAATGTTAAGACGGCTGACTGAGTCACATTCAGCCCATAAATGAAAAAATTTACAAAAGACATAGTTTAAATTTAGACTAATTAAATAATAAGAGACAATGTCAGAGCCAGTC